TGTACTTTTCCATGACTGTTCTTGGGATATTACAGCAGTGGTTTCCCGTTGCCTACTGCCGGTTTGTGTACAGTTTCTCTGCTAGCTGTCCTCTTCATGATAGGAAAATACTACAAGATGCAATCTTGGTAGAATCTATATAAAATACTTCTTTTTGTGATCTTCTAAATCCAGCAAGAAAAACGGTCAACCGCGAGTTATTTTGTTGATTTGGACACGCTGGTTCCGAATTTGATATTATTTTTACGATTAGACATAGTTTTAAATGTTTATTAAAAAATCTTTTTGGCGGGCCACGGGTGTATCGATACCAACATCAATACCATCACGACGAGTCGCTGTTCCCCGGACACATTTTTTCCTGTTTTTAAAAATAGAGTCGCTGTTCCCTGGTGCTCCGACAAATCTCTATCTGCTCAGTTTTTAGTTTTGAGAAGTTTGACGTCAAAGATTTCGACTTCCAAATCATGTCAAGCTTTTTCGAATGATAACGGCTCCCAATAACCTTACAATTTTGATGAAGCAGATAGAAAATTTGGTTTCTGACTGACCACATGGTCTTAATAACTCAAAAGAAGCCAAAGTTGTAATTCTGAGGCAACGATAAGTTGTAACGTATTGGTACTGTATGGTATGGTTTAGGTTTGAGGAAAAATTTATAATAATATGCAAACGCTGGCTTAGTGACAGGGCCTCCATTTTGGACGCATCTCCTATGGAATCCAAAATGAAAAAAAAAACGTTTGGATATACCTTATAATGATAAGTGAAAATTAGCCCACTCAATTTATTATTTTTTCTCTTGAGACATAAAAACTGTTGATTTTGCTGAAGCCCCGTGAGTACGATGGTATTTTCTATTTCTATGCACAGTTGATTTTCATGAGCCTAACTGTCAATCGCATTTTGGCACTATTGATCTTCTCCTTTTCGGGGGGAAAAGAATAAGTCATTAAAAATGTCAATGCTAATGTATGTAAAAGCAATTTGACAAGCCAGATCAGACCCTTCAAAAGATTGTAAAATCTTTAAAATTTAAAAACTCTGAAAAATACAAAAGAAACTAAATGGATATTGCGGGTATTTTTAAAAGATCTTTGACTTTGACGCAAAATGTTATTCACGCAGGTTGGTCAAGATGTTCCGTATGGCTGGTCTTTCCAACCCGGAACATCAATCAGAGCTGCAAGGCCTGTACGTGCTGCTGACGCACTTTTCACAGTTTGACCACTCAGACACGGTCAGTTCCTCTGCCTGGTTTTCAATGCATGTCTTATCTGTCAGGTTTTACCATCTCTCTCTCTCTCTCTCTCT